TCCATGGCTGTCAGTCGTCACCTGAAGATACAACCTAGTAGATTCCAACTGGCCAAGAACCAGCCCATGCTTCTTTTTCATCTCCAGGTCTTTCCACTTTTATTAAGGCAGTTCATTTTAGAGTCTAACTTTTCAAAATTGTCTTAGAGAAGGCAATGTGCAGGTTTTAGTCTTTCAGTTGTTTGTTTTAATGCAATTAACTAAAATAAGTACTTCTTTTTTATATATAAAATACATGTCAACACATAGTTTCCTGTTCAAAAAATGGTTTCTGTAGCTATATAGGTATAGGCATAATTATTATTGTTTTCTAATACTAATGTAACCATCTTATAAAACATTTGAAAACACTCTGTAGAGTGTGAATGGATTCAGAAAGAGGCATACTGTTCTACTTTCTTTATCAACAAGGTAAAAATGTTTTCCTATTTACCCAAGTTTCCAGTTTTTGATAGCTTTTTCTATCTTCCTATCTATTGAATTTCCCCAGAATCTCTGATAAGGCATAAGAGTATATAAAAGAGCCATGAGGTATAGAAAAAATGCAGCAATGAGAAATAGTGATGTGTAACTAGCAGTATGCTAAATTGTGAGGATTTTTGTGATGTATTTCTGTAACTGTAATACGTTTATCCATCTTGTTTCCTTACACACATTCTAAGGAAGTTAAGAACTGTAATTTATTATGCATTAAGAAAATTGCCCATTGTGCGTACAAAAAGAATGTACATGCATTTTCTTGTGTACGTTTTTATCTAACCAATTGAAAAGAACCTAATTTTGAAGGGGATTATATAATTTACAAATAAACTGTATATTAGATTTCCCTAAGGGGTATTTTTGAAAACAAACACTGCTCCACTACAGATCCAGGCACACAGCCCTGAAGCTACATTAAAAAAAAATTCAATCTTGGCATAAGTTGTGATGAGCTGTAAATATTGAAAAAAAGTAAAATTTTCAAATATGCTAAATGTAGGAAAAGCATCACTGCATTCATATGTAAGGAGAATATGTAAGGTGTTAGGAAAAGAATTAATATGCTCTTTTGAATGTCTTTGAATCAGGAATTGAAGTGGATTATGAATAATCCAGAATATTTACCTAGTAAAGGCAAAAAAGTTTTAGACCCACAGATATCCTTATATTTGGGATCAAATAATGCCCTGCTGATTATACAATGATACCCAGCGCATCTCGTCGCTCAAAGGATCAACACAAGGTTCAAAGAAGTCATATCAAGTATATGTTTTTAGAAATTGTGAAATCTAATAAAGCCTGAATTCATTACAGCCTGAATTAGTTACATACTAAAAGTGAGAATAAATTTATAAAACAATTTATATGTGTTTATGTTCTGGATGCAATTCACACTTCTATATTCACAACCAATACAGTGATAGGATCTTAAGGTTGTAGATGGATACTGTGAAACCTGTCTCCCCTGACTCCTGCACATGATTCCTAAATCGGGTTCCAATAACATTGATTTGTAAACTATTTCCATAGTCCACTAGTGGCAAATCTGGCATCATTTGCTTTTTAGTGCTGTCTTTAAAGACATACAGGAGCAAGACACCGCTATGAAATGAGTTGCTACAAGAAGGAAATTTGGAGCTTGAAGAAAAGAAAGGTCTCCAGAAACTATAGCACAGGCAAGACTGAAATTGTTTTAAAAATAGCTCTTTCTTAAACATTTAATCTCAACTCTGCTTGTGAAATGCTCCTTGGAGCAGCAGAACAAGTAAAAGTCCAGTAAGACCACAAAGGTTCCAGGGAACACCACCAGGAAACTCCAGTGATAACGCCAAGCTTGTTGAACCTTGGCAACTCCCGTGAAGGAGATCCCGGTCTACAGGAAGCTCTACACGTACAATGAGATGGGCTTCACAGCATCTCTTACTCTTCTTGGGGTCCACTGTGGCTTCTAAACTAAGGGTGCACCTGAAGTAAGTTCTATGTGTATCGTGATAGGGATTAATTTAAAATAAACTCCAGAAGCATTAAAACAACCAGCACAGATGGTTTGTCAATATCCCTGTGAATATCTGATTTTAAAGATTCAATTTCTTTTCTATGTTTACAGGCCAATTTTTAAATCTCAACTCTTCTATTTAAAAAAAAAAAATAGCAGGTTTCCTACCTTTGGCATGCAGCATGTTTCTGATTACCTTTTAGTGGGCATGTGCTTAGACATCAAAATTCATTCTATGTGCAGAGCTTCCTGTAGATTGGGATCTCCTTCGCAGAAATGCTGTGTCTCTCCAGGGATGCAGCACACAGGAAGGAGAAGTCACCCACTCACTATATACATCGCTAATCAGGACTTCAGTAAAATACTGTGTTCACCCTGAGGTCCCATAAATAAGATGTAGCTTCAAAGAATGTATAGTCAGCCATTTAAGAAAAAGAATCCCAGTGAATAAAACCTAGCTTTGTAGCTATTATCTACTGTGGAAGCCTGAAGAAAAATTAAGGATATAAATTATTTTTGATGTTATTCTCTGTTTACTGAGATAAATATGAGAGGATAATTAAGTCAATGCAATTTAAATAGTAATGGGAGGAAGAATAAGTAAGACTTGGAAATAATATATTTTGTTTAATAGTCATGAAACTCAGGGCTTTCAGTCAAAAAGCCATATTTTTGGAGACTATTTAAGAAATAGCTGCGCCGGGCGCAGTGGCTCATGCCTGTAATCCCAGCACTTTGGGAGGCTGAGACAGGCAGATCACAAGGTCAGGAGATCAAGACCATCCTGGCTAACATGGTGAAATCCCATCTCTACTAAAAATACAAAAAATAAAAAATAAAAAATAAAAAATAGCCAGGCATGCTGGCGGGCACCTGTAGTCCCAGCTACTCGGGAGGCTGAGGCAGGAGAGTGGCGTGAACCCGGGAGGCGGAGCTTGCAGTGAGCTGGGCTGGCGCCACCGCAGTCCAGCCTGGGCGACAGAGCGAGACTCCGTCTCAAAAAAAAAAAAAAATAGCTGCTCAGCTGACTTTATGGATGTTTTTCATACACTTATGATCTAAGGAAGAGGATAGACAAGATGACCAGAAGTTATTTCCAACCCTGTATGACAAGTAAGGTTTAGGTAGAGGTAAAATTTATAAGAAAACATTGTGGAAAATATAAACTTACACAAATGTCCAGCTGGCCCTGGTAACACTCATTAGTATGTTAAATATAAAACAAAATCATGCCTTACTATTGCTGATTTATTTTAATGGGACTACTCATGGATGATATATTACCGTAGAAGGTTACAATGGCCTGCTTTGCATGCAAAATTTAATACACTGTACATTGTCTAGGGAAAATCCAACCACAGTCAATCTCACCTGATTTTCATGTTGACGTTATCGCGTGAGTGGGTACACTGCACCTGCATATTTGAAATGAAGAGGGTTTATCAAAAGAATCAGTGGATAACTGAACATGCTTTGAACTTTGAGATTGAAAGTGTTTTGAATTGTAGTGTTGCTTCTTTTTTTGAAGACTCACATATTCAAGCCAAATCTTAGTGTCACTATTCATTCAACAAGTATTTATTGATATTTACTGTGTAGCAAACACTATTTGTAGCGCTGGAGATTCAATGGTGAACAAACCAGAAAAAAAAAAAATCCTTATTTTAGACTTATAGCTTAATTGGGAACTTGAATAATTGTGCGAGAAAATCCACCCAATAAATAAGTAAACTAATAACATTTAATAACATTTTAGAATGAAGGAAATAAACAAGGAGATTTGATAGAGAACAGTTGGGTGGGATTGAGGTAGATGGAGTCAGAGGTTACCAGATAATATGGTTATGTCTGGCCTAGACCAGAAATCAGACGGGGTAGATTTTCACCCAACTTCTGCCACCAATCCAGCTGACTGGCCTTAGAAAAGGGACATCTGTAGACTGAGATGGTCATTTAGACTACGTATTAAATAATTCCAGGAGCTTTTTACAGCCTATGGTAGGCAGAATAGACCCTCTAAAGTAGCAGTCCCCAATCTTTTTGGCACCAAGGACCAGTTTCATAGGAGACAGTTTTTCCACGGACCAGGAGAGGAGGAATGGTTTCAAGATGATTCAAACACATTCCATTTTTTGTGTACTTTATTTCTATTACTATCACACTGCAACATATAATGAAATAATTATACAACTCGTCACAATGTAGAATCAGTGGTAGCCCTGAGCTTATTTTCCTGCAACTAGATGGTCACCTCTGTGGGTGATAGGAGACAGTGACGGATCATCAGGTATTAGATTCTCATAAGGAGCACACAACCTAGATGCCTCGCATGCACAGTTCACAACAGGGTTCACGCTCCTATGAGAATCTAATGCCAGGGCAGATCTGACAGGAGGTGGAGCTCAGGCAGTAACACTCACTTACCTGCCACCTACTGTGTGGCCAAGTTCCTCTTTTGTTTTTGGAGGCAGGGTCTTGCTCTGTCACTCAGGCTGGAGTGCAGTGGTGCAATCTCAGCTGGCTGCAACCTCCAACCCCCTGGGCTCAAGTGGTCCTCCCACCTCAGCCTCCCTTGTAGGTGGGACCACAGGGACGTGCCACCACCCAGCTATAAATAAAGTGGCATGCCACCACCCAGCTGTAAATAAAGCACACAATAAATGTAATGTGCGTTTTTGTATTTTTAGTAGAGACAGGGTTTGGCCATGTTGCCCAGGCTGATCTCAAACTGCTGAGCTCAAGCGATCCACCTGCCTTGGTCTCCCAAAGTACCAGAATTACAGGCATGAGCCACTATGCCTGGCTGCTGCCCGGTTCCTAACAGGCCAAGGACCGGTACCAGTCCTTGGTCAAGGGTTGGGGACCCTTCCTCTAAAGACTTCACATTCTAATCCTCAAAACCTGTGAATGTATTATGTTACATGGCAGAAGCAACTTTGCAGATCTGAGAACGGGGTGATTGTTCTGGATTACCTAATCTAATCATGTGTCCTTAAAAGCAGAAAATGTTCTCTTCTGATTGCAGAAGAGAGATGCAGCAGAGAAATGCCACAGAAAGGGGAGCTGGAGAGAATCAAAGCATGAGAGGAATTCAACCTGCTGTCGCTGGAACGGGTCCAGATGGAACGCGTGAGAAGAAACGTGCGTAGCATCTAGGAGCAAAGACTTGCCCCTGGCTGACAGCTAGTAAGGAAGTGGGAACCTCAGTGCTGCAGCCTCAAAGAATTGACTTTAACCCACAGCCTGAGTGCGCTTGGAAGCAGATGCATTCACAGATCTTCCAGAAGGGAATAGAGCCCCGTTGACACCTTGATTTTAACCGTATGAGATCCTAAGCAGGGAATCCAGATATGACGTGCTGTGAGATAATACATGGGCATTGTTTTAAGCTGCTAAATTTGTGGTGATTTCCAATGACAGCAATTTAAAAAACTGATACAAAGCCAGTAACCCAAATCCTGTAGTCTTCCATCCTTCACAATTTCCTCCTGGCACCTCCAAGCACTCAGCAATTCCAAACAATTTTTATCTCCAAAGCATGGATTGACCCCATCTTCTCATCTCCCCAGAATTCTACTTTATCTATCATCTGGACCATCCCAAACTGTACCCCTGTTTTGTTCTGACTTTTGACTCTCAATCTGTTCTCCAAACCATAGCCAATTATTTACTTAAAATATATATATATATAATCATGGCATTTCTTTGCACACAATCTTTCAGTGTTTCCACATAAGCAACAGATTCCAGTTCAGCCGCACTTTAATGCAAAGACATCCATGACACAGATCCTATCTCCCTGTCCAGCCTTTTATAGTACTCTCTGCCTTTCTCTTTATGGGCCTATATGGAGAATTGTAACTTCCCTTCAGTACCACTCCTAGACCCAGGCATGCAGGGTATCTGTGCTGAGCTTAGATCTTCAGAGGCCTCAGCTCTGGTGCTGCCTGGTCTTCCCACAGGTGAGGAATCTATGTAGCTGAGCAGAAATCACCTGTAGCCCAAGTTTCCTTCTTGTGGACTGTGCCTCAGATGTTTGGTATCCCGATTTCCCTGGACAAAGGGCCCAAAACCCTTCCCAAAGCTGGCATGGGTTAATTTTCTGAGTTTATGTTCTGAAGGATAGCACCTGCCTCTGGGGAGGGGTGAGGTAGGCTGGGAGGCAAATGTTAGCAGTGTTGCCAAAAAGAAGGGGGTGGACTGGGGAACCAGGGGTAAGAAAACAGGCAGATGGGTGTCAGTCTGTTTAGGGGGTCCTATCACAAAATACCACAGACCGGGTGACTTAAATCACAGAAATTTATTTCTAACAGTTCTGGAGATTGCTAAGACCTAGATCAAGGTGCCAGCAGATCTGGTGTCCGGTGAGAACTTTCTTCCTGGTTTCCTCACATGGTGATGTGGGTTGGGGAGGTGGGCAGAACACTAAAATAAGGGTGTTAATCCTATCATAAGGGTTCTACCCTTATGACCCAATTACCTCCCAGAGACCCCATCCCAGATATCATTATACTAAGAATTAGAGTTTCTGCATATGAATTTTGGAGGGACTCAAACTTTCAGCCCATAGCAGTGGACCACGGGTTAAGGGCTGTCTCTCCTTACCATCACATTTCTAGCCTGGAATTCCAATAAATTCCATAATCCCAAATTAGAACCCAGCCTTCCAGGATGTTAGGAAGATATATTTGTCAAAGTAGGAGCATAAAACTTGTTTTACGTAGCAGGTGGTTATCTTGATTTACAGCCTCTAACTATTTAGATGTAAGATATGCTACCTCCATTTGCACTTTTACCGGTCTCCACAGATGGTGGGGGTATGTCTCCCCCACATACCATGTCTTCATGTTGTTTCTTCCTGTTCTTCTCGCTTTGTGAAAAGGTCTGCCCACCACTCTTCACCTGGCCAACTCTCTCACATGGCTCAGGACTCAGGTTAGTGGCGGCCTCCTCCAGGAAGCCTTCAATGATTCTCCAGTGCCCCCTCCATTTAACATGCATGTATGTGAAATTATTAAAACACTCCTACACTGTAAGACAAAGAACAGAGACAACATTTTATCCATTTTGTTTCACTACCATGGTGTCTGGTGCATGGTGTGAGTTTAATTAAAGTTTATTGAACTGAATACTGAAAGCAAATGGTAAATGCTTCATTCAGAATATATTCAACAAGCATTTAAGGAATAATAGCACAAAGTGAAGAAGAAAATTACTGGGGGTGGGAGAGGACAGATGTGGCAGATTCCTTGTTCCAGGTCACACAATAGTAATAATCATTGCCATTTCTCGAACACTAACCATTTGCCAGAAACAGCACTAAGTATTTCACATGGGTTACATTTAATCCTGCCAACCCCAAGAGGGAGAAACTATTATTATCTTCATTTTATAAATGAGAAAACTGAGGTTTACATAGGTTAAGCGATTTGCCTAAAGACTCAAAGCCAGAAAGGGCTCCAAAGCCTCTGCTTTGACTATGGGAGCATGCTGCTTCCTGACACCTCCTATGCACAAAAAAGGGAGCTAGACCCATTGTCCTTTTCTTTTTTTGGAGAAGATACAAATGGTAATTCTCAAGGGCCTGAGTAAATGTTAGTTGAAAGTTAATTGCATGTGCTTCAGAAATAAATGTGGGAACATCTGAAATGTGTAAATAACAATACGATTGCAAAGTAAGAAGGACCATTTGGATTACAATAAGGAAACGATAATGTCCTCTGGGGACAGTGAGCTGGGGGTGTGTCCCAAAGGAAGTTGGGAGGTCTTGTCTGGAGGCCCTCGTTGCAGTGGACTGGAAAGTTCTTAACACAGGATGTGAGAAGGGAATGTATGGGGGCTGAATTGGTCTTCAAATCCAAAATGTAATACCAACACACGTTTTACATTAAAATATTTAAAGATATAAATTGTTCTTCCCAACAGTTTCTCATTTAAAAGAGGAGTTGCAGCATTTCCTCAAATGTTATTTAAGGCCGTTTTACATGCCACCTAATTGGACTGAATTATTATTTTTTAAGTTGAATTCAGGAGAGCAACTCTTTTGCCATTTGTTAAAACTACATTCAAGCCAAATAAGCAGTAAGATTATAGCAGGAAAAAAAGAAACAAACCTCACCCACAAACTCTTTTGTACAAGAAATTTCTCTATTTTCTTATGACTGAACTTTATTTTCATTTCCTATTTGGCCAAATGGTTGGAAATTTGATCTCAGTCAAGACAATGTGGTCTCCTACCCCCACTTTCAGCTACTCCTTCCTTTCCTCGGGATTAGGTCTAAATATAGGGTGGCTTACGTAGTGCGGAGGCATGGGCAGGGGCTGAAGGGACGGCTGGCATCCACACTTGCAGGACTTACAGTGATTGTTGTAGGCCCCAGCTGCCTCCCTCCTCAGCCACAGCCTCAGCCTCCTTCTGGCTCCTCCGCTTTGGTGCCATGTCCATACTTCTTGGGTGCGTGACATCATTCCATTGCTTCTGTGCCAAAGAGTAGGACTGAGAACTTGATGAAGCTGTCTGGGGCCGTCTGCCCAGCCCTGCTTCTGCTCCCTGCCATGAAGGCTGGGGATGCTGAAGGCTCCCCCTGTCTCCAAGGGATGGGGACTCGGATCCTCTTTGCTCCTGGACCTTCCAACTTCATCCGGAGTTCTATGGTGCCCTCTCACGCTAGGTGTTTGGCTAAGAAGCAGCAGGTCACTGGCTCCCTTCTCAGAAACCAACAGTGTCTAAATTCTCCATCTGCCTTTTGAACTTCTCCTTCTTCATCCCAGATAATCTTTCTCCAGCTTGAGGCAGGAAGCCTTGCTCTTATATCATCAGGCATCGTTTCAAATCTCTTGTTTCATTCCAGGATCTAAGCTTATGAAACACCAAAGCCAGGAATAGACTCCTTTGACTTTGCAATTTTTTCTCTCCCTTGACAGCATGTATAAAAAATTCCTTGCCTTGGCTAAAGGGGCATCCATGGGGTGGAAGAAAGGGGATACAATAAAACTTATAAAACACTGCCACTACCATAGCTCAGAGAAAAGCACCAGATGAGGAATCAGGAGACTGGGAGTTTGTCATGTGATCATGTTACAGTAGGCAGCTAGTCAGACATGAGCAGGACAGAAGAGCCTCCCCCGACCCCACCAGGAATGTCAGGCAACCATCAGGAGATGGCCAGGAGGTTTTTAAATTATCTCTCTAAAATCATAATGGGTTGCAGCCAGCGCCATGAAAAGACCGTCTCCCAATAGATAGAAAACACCGGAAGCTGGTGATCAGCAGCTTCCCGATAAGATCTCAGGAGTTGGGCAGGTGGACTCAAGCATGCACACTAAGAGGTGTCCACTCACCCAACTGAGGCAAAATGGCCTCAGAGCTTAACTGGTATATGATGGTATTTAAATGGTATATTAACTGGTATACTTCCTTTAGGAACACTGGACTGGTTAGGGAAAACGCCTGAAGTGAGCCTGCAGACAACTTCACTAAACACACTGCACACACAGGCCCTCCCAAACACCAGCAGGCCACTGCACATACAGACAGCCAAGGGGAAGAATCAGGAGAGAAGGGCTGCAACCCCCTCAGGAAGCATGCCAATGTGTAAAATCCCAAGTCAAAGGTCAAACTGTGCCCTTGATCTCTCAAGTCTGCCACTTGGCCCTCTTCCAAGTACATACATATTTTTCACTCTTGCTCTAAAGCTTTTTAATAAACTTCTCCTCCTGCCCTAAAATTTGCCTCAGTCTCTCACTCTGCTTTCTGCACTTCGGTTAAATTATTTCTTCTGAGGAGGCAAGAACTAAGGTTGCTCTAGACCCATACGGATTTGCCACCGCTAGCAATCATGGCCAAGTCATTTCCTCTCAGGAACTTGGTTTCTTCATCTATATGATTGGAGGTAAGAGTAGGCATTTTCCATCTTTTTTTTTTTGGCTCTAGAAATACTACTTTATCTGATTTTTAAAGAAGATTTCCATCTAGCTCTGGTGACTTTGAAACTCTGTGATCATATACGCATGAGAAATAACATGGGGCACCATGATTTACTCCCCACTCCACGCATTTACGGATCACAAAAATAAGATCCCTTGTAACCAAGTTCAGAATTATTTAATTGAGGTTAAGATCTAATTTTCATAGCTCCAAAAGTCATATATGTAATGAATATGTCTCATGTCATTTAAAAGGTGTTCTCTAAAATTTGTGACTTGAAATATATAGGATTCTTATCACTCTTTTAATGTGTTCTAATTAGTAATAATATTTCTTATTTACTTTATGGATTTTTTAGTTTTGTTGTTATTAGAACTGAGGAAAAAAAACTGACAAGGTTAATGAGTACCTGATAGAGAGGTGTTTTACAAAATAATTAAAATTATATTCTTACAAAAATTTGTAGAGTAGCTTATTTTTAGAAATTGTGGGCTGTTTTAAATAAGGTTTTCAATTTTAAAAATAAATGACTTATAGCAAAACTTCATCAGGCAAAGTCAAGTGTTCTTTTGACAATTTATTCCAAAATTCAGAGAAATAAACACTCACTAAATAACATAATAGAAGAATAATGTCTGACTTCAAGGTCACCAGGAGAAGTAGAAATGAAGTTACAAATATCACACAATGCTTTAAATCAGTGTGGCAGAAGGTCTATTTATGTCACCTGCTGGCTCCCTTGTTATTATTTTTTTCTTGCTAACATAGTTGATAT